CAACGCCTTGGGGGTGGAGCCGAGCCTCCACGCGGGCATCAACGCCGCCGTCCTCCTCGTGGCCGCCGGGCACCAGTTCGAAACCTCCGTGCAGCTGCAGCAAATCGGTGGGTGGCCACCCACAGGTTGGGGACGGGGACCCACCGGGGACGGGGACCAGGCATGGGGACATCCCCGGTGCGGTCGTGCCCGGGTGCCGGGGTTGCCGGCGGAGGGGTGATGGGTTCTGGTTCTTACATCCAGGGGTGAAGCTGAGCTGCCTTCAGGGTCGCAAGGGCAGTCCGGAGGAGCTGCGCTACTATTGGGATGTGGGATTCTGCCTCGGAGCTGGCATCTTGGCCAACGACCTCAGCAAAGTCATCCAAGCCTCGGAGAAGCTCTACAAGCTCAACGCACCGGGCTGGTACGGCACCGGACTGATACGGCTCCGGTTCCCGGTGGCTGTGCCCCAGGATGGGGTTTAGGGGTTTTTAGGAGATGCTGGGGATCTCTCTCTCTCTCCTCTCTCGTCCCTCATGTCCCTGCAGGTACCTGGTCTCGGTCATGGAGACCTTCCTGCTCTACAAACACTTCCAGAGGAGCCCGCAGGTCCCCTCCGCTCGGCAGGAGCTGGCTGATTTCTGGCTGGGTTTCCTCCTCGAGGCGTGCCAGCCCTTCGTTGCCGCACCACACTGCTCGGTGAGGGGCCACGCGGAGCCATCTCCTCCTGCCCGGACCCCCGGACATCCCTGGGGACCACCCGGTCATCCGGGCTCACCGGGAATTTAGGGGGAGGCACCGAAGCAGCCCACTGGTGCCGACCCAGGTGGGAGGATGGGGGTGCGGGGATGCAGGCTGGGGACCCGGTGACGGGGGGGGCTCACTCCACAGCCCCCCACCCCCCCTCCACTGCCACAGGTCCTGGTCCTGGAGCTCAGCAAGGTCCTGCAGCCGGCGCGGTTGGCACTGCGGAGCGGCACGGAGGATCCCACCCTGACCCTCACCCTCATCTGCCCCACAGAGGAGGTAAGGATGGGCCTGGGGGCTCTGGGGGGGGGGTTGTCCCCTCTGACCCCCTCCTTACCTTCCCCTTCTCCTGCAGAAAGCAGCGTCGAGCTGGACCTTCGCGGCCACAGCCATCCGGGGCGTCAGGTGAGGATGTCCCCAGTCCCCCCACCGGCAGGAGTGAGGATGCCCCCCATGTGCCCGCAGCCCCTCCACCCACCCGGTGGGCAGCGTCAGCCCCACCGCTGACGGGTTG